CCAAGCTTGTCCCACTTCCATTCGGGTATCGACATAGGTTGCAGTAATCCTGCTGGCTTCTGATGTTCTGCCTTCACTCTCTGACATACATCACATACTGCTACATACTCGGTAATATCCTTCTTCATTCCTGTCTGCCAGAAATGCTCCTCCAAATCCAAATACATCTTGGTGTTTCCGGGATGAATCAAGTATGGCGAGTCATGTGCTTCCTGAAGTATTAACTTCCCGATCTCCACATTATTGGGTACGTATACACGATTCTCAAACCATAAAGTCTCGTGCTCATCCTCACGAAAACCTTTGGCTTTTTCTTTGCTCATCTTCTCCTTAATTTCAGCAATTTCCTTATCATCCTTCTGAGCTTCTAGAATCTTTCCCAATAATGTAGAATGAACCTCCATTGCTGCAACAAAACCTCTTGGAACTATATTCAAATGAAGTTCCCTAAGATCGTCTACTAACACTCCTGCGGTAATCCTCCACTTACGAGGGTATTGGCATAACTTTTGCGGCTCAAAGCGTCTGCTACGACATTGGCCTTTCCTGGATGATAATGCACCTTCATATCATAATTCTTTATGAGCTCCAACCATCTCCTCTGCCTGAGATTCAACTCCTTCTGCGTGAAAATGTACTTCGAACTTTTGTGATCCATGTACACATCACATCTATTTCCAATCAGAAAATGTCTCCAGGTCTTGAGCGCATGCACTACGGCTGCTAACTCCAAATCATGTGTGGCATAATTCAACTCATGGGGTCGAAGCTGCCGTGAGGCATATGAAACAACTCTTCCGTCTTACATAAGTACATCTCCAAGTCTCAAACGAGAAGCGTTGCAATAAACTTGGAAATCCTCGCGTATATACGGAAGAATCAACATTGGGGCTATAACCAAACGTTTCTTCAACTCCTGAAAACTGGCCTCACAATCTTCGCTCCATTTGAACTTGGTGTCCTTCTTCAACAACTCTGTCATGGGTTTCGCAATCTTGGAGAAATTCTCAATGAACCTCCTGTAATATCCTGCGAGTCCCAGAAAATTGCGGATATCTCCAACTGAGGTGGGTGCCAACCACTCAGTGACAGACCGAACCTTCGTAGGATCAATGGCTATACCTTCTCCTGATATAACATGTCCAAAAAATCCAACTTCCTTCAACCAAAACTCACACTTGCTGAACTTGGCATATAGCTGATGTCCCTTGAGCTTCTCGAGAACTAAGCGCAAGTGTTTCTTGTGTTCCTCTTCATTCTTCAAGTACACCAAAATATCATCAATGAACACTACAACAAACTTATCCAAAAACTCCATGAATACCTTGTTCATCATACTCATAAAATAGGCAGGCGCATTAGTCAGTCCAAATGACATGACCGTGTACTCATATAGCCCGTACCTTGTGATAAAAGCTGTCTTAGGTATATCCTGTTCCCGAATCTTCAACTGGTGATATCCTGATCGAAGATCAATCTTGGAGAATACTTTAGCTCCTTGCAACTGGTCAAATAGATCAGTGATCATCGGGAGTGGATATTTGTTCTTGATCATCACTTCGTTCAATGCCCGATAATCTACAACCATTCTCAAAGATCCATCCTTCTTCTCAACTAAGAGCACTGGGGCTCCCCACGGTGATGAACTGGGTCGGATATAACCCTTCTCCAATAACTCCTTAATCCGCTTCTTAATTTCCTTCAGATCATTTGCGGGCATCCGATACGGTCTCTTCGATATAGGTCCGGTGCCTGGCAACAACTCTATCAAAAACTCTATGTCTCGATCTGGCGACATGCCTGATAGTTCCTCTAAAAATACATCTGGGTAATCCTTCACAACAGGCACTTCTTCCTGAACAACTCCCGAGAGAGAATTTACTTGGGTCTGGCGTTGCGGTAAGCCGCCATCTTCGGATCTTTGACATCAAAATCTCCATTTATTTAAGATATCGTGAGGTTTGAGTCCCCGCGCACTTCCAGGTGTTGTATGCCCATAGAAACAGCCATCCAGAGATTATGTAACAAGGCCTCATATTCGGCTACGTTATTGGAGTCTGTGTATAATATTTTGAGCATGTACTGGACTACGTCTCCAGTGGGGGACGTTAAAATGACGCCCGCTCCTAATCCTGCCAGCATTTTGGAACCATCGAAATACATAACCCAGTTTGAATATGTGCCGTACTCTTTAGGGAGTTCGGCCTCTGTCCATTCGGCGATGAAGTCCGCCAGTACTTGGGATTTAATGGCTCAGCGTGGTTTATATGTTATGTCGAATGGAAGGAGCTCGATGGCCCATTTGGCTATCCGGCCCATAGCATCGCAGTTGTTTACTATATCATTGAGTGGTACTTCGGAAGCCACCGTGATAGAACATTCTTGGAAGTAGTGTCGTAGCTTTCAGGATGCCATGAAGACCGCGTATGCTATCTTTTGATAATGAGGGTACCGGGATTTGCATGGTGTGAGAACGGTGGATACGTAATACACCAACTTCTAAAGTGGGAATTTGTGTCCATCCTGCTCTCGTTTCACGACGAGCACGGCGCTCACCACCTGGTGTGTTGCCGATATGTATAATAACACGGGTTCGCCGACGTTCGATGCGGCCAGGATTGGGTTGCTCGCCAGAAGGGTTTTTATTTCTTTCAGTCCGGCTGTTGCCGCGTCCGTCCACTCGAAGTGATCGGTGCGCCGGAGGAGGCGATACAATGGCAATGCCTTTTCTCCCAATCTGGAGATAAAGCGGCTTAAAGCTGCCACGCATCCTGCGAGCTTTTGGACCTGTTTAAGGTCCGTTGGCGTGGCTTGAATTTTGGCTGGATTTGTTTCAATTCCTCTATTGAAAACTATGAAGCCCAGCAGCTTTCCATCGGGGACGGGGAAAACACACTTTTCCGGATTGAGCTTGATGTCATATGCACAGAGGTTGTTGAATGTGAGACGTAAATCGTCTATTAGTGAGTCGACGTGCTTAGTTTTGATGACGACATCATCCACGTATGCTTGAACTGTCTTGCCCACCCAGTGTTATCGTTGCCCGCCCACTTGACGCTGCACTCCTCTAGTGATGCCCACTTTATTGATAGACACTGGGTGGGGAAGAGTAGAGGCTAACGTTGGTGAGACGAGAGGAGTAGGTACGCCTGCTTGGATCGGAGACGGTGACGAACGCAACTACCCGACACCGATGACGATGATGCTTGCTGGAGGGGTTCCTTGAGGAAGACTAAGGTAGGCAGAGATGATGTGCGTGTGGGACAACTGACGTGTGGTGCTTGGGAAACTCTATAGTGAGATGGAGCACATGAGCGAGGTGTGATGAATCAAACGATACAAGAAGACATTTTTCTTGTGAATCAGGACAACTTCGACGACAAACTACCGATTCCGTGTGAAGAAGTTTTGGAAGTAGTTTTTAGAACAATGCCCTTCCCCGGCTTCTCTTTATTGTGATGTGAAGAAATAACGCTGCGTTTGGATGTTCGTATCGAGGCCTCGAATTGGATTTGATATTATTTGGTTGCCAATTCAGCCGTTTGGATGCGCACCGAAACGTCACATTGTAATGGGTCCAGATACAGCAGCGAATTGGCTCTCACGCGCCGAGGCCTCCCGCAATAGGACCTCCTCCGCTCCGATTTGGGTCGAATTGGTCTACTCCGGCAAAAGAAAACGATTGGGACGACCTCCCCACGCGAGACCTGTCTTCTTCTTTCCCCCGTGCGAGACCAAAGGGCTGAGGAGCCCCGTCCATGGCGGCACACCGACGGGGGCACCCAGCGCCTCTCGCCGACCCTCCTCCTCCTCCTCCTACGCCGGTACCGGCATCCCTTCCTCCGCAGCTCGTTCTCCTTCCTCCCATGGTGCCCCATCTATTCTGCCGCCCCGTCTCCTCTGCCGCTCCATGTCCTCTCCACCCATGGCTGCCACGACCAGGACCTAGCCATCCACCGCCGCTCCTCATCCTCTACCTATGCTCCGGGATCCCTCCATGCCACCGGACCCCTCCTCCTCGCTTGGGACTTGGCCTTCCTCCCTCTGCTGCACATCTTCAGTTAGCTAGCTGTGTTTTTCTTCAGTTTCGTCAGGGAGCAGCTCGGCAGGGGCACCAGCATGGTCCTTTACCTCAAGGACGACAAGCTATAGAGTCAAGTCTTGATGTGATTTTGTGCTTAGTACAGCTGCACTAAACGGCCGCTACATAAGCTTATTGTCGTCTATAAACTGTATGATCTTGCGGCTATTTATGTTTGTACGCATGAGCTGAACTTTTGTTTCATGAGTTTGTCTAGTTTGATGGTAATGGGATTAGGTCTGTATGCATCTGAACTTTAGTATCTGGAACTGGAAGGCCGCACTATTAGACCAGCTTACAGTTAGAATTGATGTTGTAAATTTTTGAAACCAGTAATATTATCATTCCTGGACTCAGCTCGTTTCAGATATGTTCTGGTAACATGCTTTAGTACTGTATAAGTATGACCAAGTGTGAGCCATTTTTAACTAAGATTATTGAGATTTTGATTTGATGCATGTATAGAAAAAAGCACTATGTGATTCCGTAGTTTGCCATCCAAACATGATTTGGTATTGAAACCCCATTGAGATTCCATGAGCCAATTCAATGAGCATCCAAACAAGCGAATTCGTATTCATATCCATTACAGTTTCCTTGTTGAATTGGTATCGAAACCAATTCAATACGAAGGCCTTCAATACAGACATCCAAACGCAGCGTAAGAGAAATGACTTCTGAATTGAGTTTTTTGGGGGCTTGGGCATATTTTCACCCTGAAAACTGGGAGGTATTGGACCTTATAGGCTTCTTTCAACGGAAACACTAAAGATTGAAAAATACTAATCATGTTCATCTGGCCCGGCCCACTAATCCTCCAGGCCCACCAAAAAAGAATAATGCAAACAGCCCCAAAACCCTGGGCCGTCGGTAGCCGAGATCGGGAGCATCCGATCCACCGAGAGAGAGCGAGGGGAAGATGAGCGCGGCGGCGGGCGGGCTTCGTCAGCTGCTGACGGCGGCGGTGACGGCGGGGGCGGCGGAGGCGCGCGCCGCGATTTTCGGGCACGCGGTGAACCCGTTGGGGAAGCGCGCGGCGACGAAGCTGCTGCGGAAGAAGCTCATCGGCGAGCATGTCGCGCAGTGGTACCCCGACGACATCAAGCGCGACGACCCCGAAGTCATGGCGCGCGAGGAGAAAGAGTAAGCGCCCGCGCCCGCCTCGCGCCTCTTAGCATTTTTCCTGTTGCTTCCACCGTCGTGGGCTTGCGCTCGCCCGCCACCTGTTCGTCGTTATGCTTCGTTCTCAGGGAGGCGTGGTTGACGCCCGCCCGTGACGTGTTTGTTGATATGCCCCGCCGCCTCGGTGAGCCGTCACGTGGTGGCTCAGTGATGTCTACGCACTTGGCCGCCTGCCTGCCCGCGCTAATAGCTCTGTGATTCATGGTAGCAAATGCGTGGTGATTTGTGTTGGTACATACCTGATTTTGTGGTTGCAGGCTTGCAGAGCCTGTCATTGTTCTTAGTGTGCTGTTGTGATTCTTCACCGTCGTCAATGGTCGTGCGCAGGTGTCGTTTGTAGTATAGAAAGGGCCACTATCAGCAGTAGGGTTTGGATGCTTGCTGTGAGGATCATGAATGTCAATCTCATTTTGCTGCTCTATGCCTCATTTGTCCGAATCTAGAATGACTGGATCTTGATAGGGATTGTGTTTGGTTATCGTTTTGCGACTATCTGTTCTGTACTTGCATGTATCTCTCTCATTGGTAATTTGGTATGCCTGCATTTGGGAATATTAGTTGTTATGAATAGGTAGTGGCATCTTTTTGGTCTGTGGCTATGCTAGAGGCGTTAGGTAAAAATATTATCTTGCACCCACAAGTACTTTGTGCATTTGCTTCAGTCAGGTCAGTTCTTGTGATCGGTTAGTCAGAGGTAACTGGAGTGCTGATTGTGCGCATGAAAAAGCAAGTCTTGCCAGATGCATAGATTGTTTGATTTAGGATTTCAGTGGCCACCTTAGATTGTTCTATTTGGCATTGCAGTGGCCACCTTAGATTGTTTGATTTAGGAGTAGTTCATTCCTTGCTCGGATGTGTATGTAATATTTTTTGGCTATTGTGCTATTGTGTTTCTGTTGTTACAAGTACTCGGAGTAATGATTTTGAAATATGTATGATATGTCAATCCTTGCCTGCTGCCGACTTGGCTACTGAAAAGCCAAGCATAATTGCTCCCTTCAGAATGAATTCATTGGTAATCGACTGTAATTATCTGAATTGTAATAAACATGATATTACATGAGCAGAACTTGGGCTAACAAAACTCATGCTGAATTCTCTGATGTTGCCGTGTTTTCATAGGCCAAATTGATTGACAATCTTGACCAGTTCCTTACTAGCACATGCATAGTTTTCCATTTCACTGGAAATTTGCATAACCAAGATGGAAGCAACTCCATGGGCAAAATCATGTTCTGATAGCAAATGTTGATAGTTACTATGCGCTCCCGTGTTGTAACATGACACATGTTAAATGCGTCAATTAATTATAGCAGATCACTGTTCTGACCATTTTCAGCCCCCCTCCCCTTGGTTACTCACTTCCATCACTGAAATGTCATGCATAACAGCCGTAAACTTAAGAATTTCTTTCAGGAAGGTTGTTTTGGAGCTTAGGGTGTTTTTGTGACAAGCCTATCTTAACAATGCCCTACCATTCTCTGTGCAGGCGTCTTGCGAAGCTGGAAATGCTCAAGCGTCGTGGGAAGGGTCCGCCGAAGAAGGGCCAGGGAAGGCGTGCGATCAAGAGAAACAAATAAGTGCCTTGCTTCTGTTTAATTTTAGTACTGATTTGGCAGCTAATGCCGAAATGTTTGCTGCGAAACTACCCTCTGTAATAGGTCAATCAAGCTTCATTTTGTTACTGATTTCGCAATGGGTGTGCTTCTTCTTGTCTGATTACTCGTTTGTTTATGCTTCTTCTGGAAATGCAATACACATCAGCATTTGGTAATCTTATTACTCCCTCAGTATCATATAAGACGTTTAATTGACACTATTGTTACAGAGGTAGCATTAGTTTTAGGCCTCCTTTGGTTCATAGGATTGGAAAATCATAGGAATAGGAAAGTCATAGGAAATGAGATGACATGCATCTCAAATCCTATAAATAGGAATAGAAAAAGAGATGCCCTTTGATTCACACCATAGGATTTTTTCCATTGAGTCTAGGCTAATGTTTGTTTTCCTATGAAATGTGGAGGATAGGAAGAATTCCTCCATAGGAATAGGATTTCATTCCTACAAACCAAAGAGCTCTGAAGGAATTTTTCCTATAGAAATCCTATCCTATGAAAATCCTACAAAATTCCTCCAAACCAAAGGAGGCTTAGTTTTTCTTTTCTGGCTTACCACCCACCAAATTGTAATATTGGAGCCATGTTAAGCCATGCGGTGAATTGCATCAATTAGCCCCCATAAAGGTACCAATCCCAGTTAAGCAGCTGACGTATGCAACACATGAATGAAGTAGGAGTAGTAGTGAAATGCAATCTTTTCAAAGAATTAAGAGACGCCATCACATATGCTAGTACTATACGTTTCTTTCAAAGGCATGAAAAGAATCAAGAACTAGTAGGCTTGCAAGCAAAGAAAAGCGCTGCAAGTAAGGTGCGGTCGATGGGACAAGCACCGCTCTACTCCGTCGCCGCCGGCCTGACCTTCCCCCGGCTCATGAGGACGGTCATGCCGTCGAGGAGGCGGACCATGTAGGTGCGGCCGTTGCGGATGGTCACCGTGCCGCCGCCCACCCAGGCCCCGTTGCGGAGCACCTCCACGGCCGTCCCGGGCGGCAGCAGCGGCGGGAGCACCCTCTTCCGCTTCTTCGTCTCGGCGACGACGCTCGCCGGCGGTGATGGCGCCTTCCCCTTCGACGGCGGACGTCGCGCCTCCGCGGCCGCCATCGTACGTACGTGCAGGGCTGCAGGCGATGGAGGAGTCAATGGGCTAACCACGTTGGTGCAACGAGATTTGTAATGCGGCGTGTGCAGGCGTCGTGGTGGATGAGCTTAGGCTATGTAGGCTGCGACGTCTGACCTGAGACCGGAGGTTGCGGAATAGGATCGTGCGCCGCGGCCGATACGTAACGTGCGTAGTGGGGATCGAATTACCGGCTTGCCGAGGCACGCACACAAAGCTCATTTTGGCGTGAAATGCAGGCAAGGTTGTACTGTACGGCCACTGGTCGCAGTTTTCCAGGTCACGATGATGGTTAAAACCGAACAAGAACATACCACGCCACGTGATGATAATGAACACACGATTAATGCACGTCAAGGAAGGAGCCATTGTGGCGTGGCGCCGTACGTGGCGAGCACCGGCGTTCCACCATCGCCATGAGAACAAGTAGACTGCCAAAGCCGACATCGATCGCTCGCCAAGCCATGCACCAGCGGGCCGACCGCCCGGCGTCTAGATCTCGCCGGGCACGGCGTCGACGCACCTGCCGCCGCGGAACACCGCGGCGGCGGGGCTCCCGGTCCCTTTGCGCCGGGGCACGGACACTGCAGGGAAGCTCAGCACGCACGCGAAGTCGCTCCGCGCGCCGTTCTGCACGGTGCTCACCGCCACCTTGACGCTGAGCCGCCCCTCAGCCTCCTCCCGCGCGAGCGCCGTGGCCACGGTGCGGGCGCGCCGGCCTGGCGGCACTTTCTGCGTCCCCGCCCACGCCACGTCGCGCGCGTCGCTGCCCCTCCGCTGCGTGAGCTCCCGAAGCGTCGCGGCGGCGGCCAGCTGCTGCCCGGCGTAGGACGGCGTGGCCTTGAGCTCCGTGTACCGCCATGTGCAGTAGAGGCACGGGCTGTCGAACCGGAGCGTGGCGGAGAGGTTGTAGGAGACGGCGGAGGCGGCGGGGTCGAAGGCGAGGAGGCGGAGCTCGGCGGAGGAAACGTAGGGGGCGACGTGGTGCGGCCGGAGGAGGAGCCGTGGGAGGAGCGACGGCGCGAGGACGAGCACCGCCAGGAGCACGGCCACCGGCGCCAGGCAGGCGGCGGCCGCGGCAGCCAGCGCGAGCGCGCACTGCCGTCGCCGCACCCTGTCGCGAGAGCTGGTCGGCGACGGCGGAATGGGAGGCTCCGCGGTGGTCATCGTGTAGTGCTGCAGCTAGGGGACTTGGTGCAATGCAGGAGGGAAAGATCAGTGGCTCACTGCTGGGTCAGGAGGTTTTTGCTTTGCTTCCTCTGCTTTTTTTTGTTTTAGATTTTTGCTTTCCTCCTTGAAAGAAGAGACCACCATTGCAAAAGCAAAAGTAGCAACCAATGCATATATCTCGGGATAACTTTCATATCTTGTATGCCACTGGAATTTTCTATTTTCCAAATGATGCGATGACAGGCGGGGCAATTTTAAATAATCTCGGTACCCCACTGTTGCACTGTTGTTTTTTATAGTCACATCATAATTGAGCAGCTTAAAATTTTCATAGAAGATGTTAAGTAAGTATTCATGTCGTCGTCAATTATGTTTGCTGATTAATTTTAATTGCAATTATATAATTGCCTCTAGCCAGTTAGAAAACTCCACATAATTCCCCTCACTTATAGGCTAACTATTTTGTGAACGACTGAACAATGGAATAAGAAATAGTTGTTTTGAGATCAATGACTTTAGGTATATTGTGTTCGGATGGACACCACGATCGTCATTCGAGACTTCAAGAGGACG